AACTCAGAAAATTTTATATTCCACAAGCAGTGCGTTTATTTTTTCAAATTTTAGTTCTACTTCGAGATGAACTTGGATTCTATGCTTAAAAATATAAAAGCGGTTACACAAAAAAAGTGAGCATCTTGATTGACTCAAATATTATATTTATTGTTCACTTATGATATAGCTTAGGTGATTTTCGAAAATTCAGTTCTAATTTAGATTTTAATAAAAACCATGTTTGATAAATCAAAACTACAAAATCTTCAAACTGTACTCGAAAAAGAGCATGTTTGAAAACCATATAGCATGTTTAAAGCGATTTTAAAAATTTTTTTTTTTAATGTTGAAAAAGTGTTTTATTTTTGCAAAAAATCACATAGAAAAATAAATCTGTAATTCGGCAAGAAGAGATTTGGTAATCAATTTCATCAACAGTAATTTATAAGATATCTCGAGTTTGTAATCAAATAAGAGTATCGAATGAAATTAAATATCTCAAGATCAATTTAGGCAACAATGGAGGGTAAATTGATAATCAGAATGAATTAGATATCTTTTAGTAATAGTTTAAAATTAGCTTCGTTTTATGTTAATAAGTGCGTGTATAGTTTAATGAATTAAGCAATTTCACGTATGAGAATTAACAGTTAGTGGTTCTTCAATAATTCCTGTATTTGGTGAACTAAACGATAATGTATACACTGTGCCCGAGATATAAAATTTAATGTGGTTAAAAGTCTTTTAGGAGCATGTTGAATTTAACGTATATTATTAAATTGGATTTCATATAAGTTTTATTTTATTATATCTGTTAGCACATTGGGAAGTTCAATTCGAAACAACATTAATTTTGATTAAGTACTTTTCTAAGTTTAAATTCGCAAATTAGAAAATTACAGTGTCTGAAATAACATTCAATGACCCGAAATCATGCTTATCATGCTAACTATGTCATATTAGTGACTAATATAAAATTAAAGTTCTTCTCATAGGCAAAAAACTTATATTCGTAAACTACATACATATATGCTTTAAAAAAGTTGCCTTTTTTATTGCTTACTTACTTTCTATGACTTCAATACATGAAAATTAATTTTATTCAATCTTGTTTAGGTAACTTATGATTTGGCACCTTATTTCTTTGCAATTAATTTTGTTCGATCACAATTAATTATATAGTAAGCTAAAAAAATTTCGCCAAAAATAAAACATTTTGTCATTTTTTATTTTTCGGCTCATTAATTATGCATAAAAATATAAAACAATTGATGTTCACTTAAAACAAACATGCATGATTTTATCTAACGCAATTTTTTTGAATGTGTGCAAAGGTAATGGAATCGATATGTTTTATGCTGCCCTTAAGGTTTATATAAGATTTGTTAAATTATTAATATAAATGTCTACTAATACAACATTTCACACTATTTTCGTTGCACAAGTATTATTGAATTCATTCGCTATAATCCATATCCAAATGAAATGATATTGTGAAATTGAAATATTGTCTGTAATGTTTAAATATTGGCCACAATTTGAAATTTTTAACTGTTCAGTAAGAATAATTATTTCATGGATCACACATTTTATAATATTTCTTCTATACAGCCTTTGAAGACTTTACAAAAATTAATTTGATTTTGTAATTTCACTGTTTTAGCAATGTTATTTGATAGAAAATTTCTAACAAAAAAATTATAATGATATTGAAATGTGCCTAGATCATTTAATTTTTATAGATAATAGAATAGGACGAAAGCAAAGCAGAACAAAGAAATATCATAATTTTTATAGATAATAGAATAGGACGAAAGCAAAGCAGAACAAAGAAATATCATTAAACAATGTAACAGTTAAAAAAACAGATTTTCCTTTAACAATGCACAAATCCAAAGATTGTATTCATATTTATGTCAAATAGTTTGGGACGGAAAGAAGGTACTTAGAAACAAGTAAAAAAAAATTTGTCTTTTATCAATAAGGATATTTTAATAGCTGTGGTATTTTTCGAACATGCAGTTCATGTATGTAACAGAAAATCCTTAAAATCTTTACATTTAATTTGCACATAAAGTTTTGAAAGCTTTGCGGCGATAATATTAAGAACTACATTTTCCGAAATATTCTTGAGAGCTGCATTTTCAGAAATTCCCTAATACAGATTGCCTTTTCATATACCTAATTCCATGTAATAGAAATATATTTTGAAATAGAAAAAAATTTATGTTAATTATCAAAAGCAAACTTTTCGAAATGCCTATCTAAACAACATTAGAAGTCAAGAAATTTCTTGCATTAATCTCTTCCGAAAAATATGAATTTTTTAATTCAATTGAAATTAACAAAATAACTACTATTAATAATAGCAATAACCAAGAGTAAGCAAGGAATACTTCGCAAATTTAATTTCGATAATTAATTTCTAAATATGTACCTACTCCACAGTTATGCACATATTGTTTTTGAATACAATTATATAATATGAAAAGAGGAAAATTTTTTGTAATTAAAATTTTTGTTTTTGGTGTAAATTTTCCACATTAATGTACATACGTGCATCATTATTATGTATATGTATGTATGCATGTATATACCGGATTATAGTCGATCTTCAATCAATCCCAAAAATTCAAATTTCGTTTGTTTTAATATTTTAGTTGAATAAACATTATAAAAAAATTTTTTTGATAAGGTTACAAAAAAAAAATAATGAAAAAATGGCGTCAGTAGCGAAATTATTTTCATAATTTTTAATAATTTTTAATTAAAATCCGATTAAGTAAAAAATATCATAACACATACATAAATTATTATTGTTAATGAATCTGTTAAATTACATCATATTTTTTTTTTTTAATGAATGAAAAAATACGTCATATATGTATACCAATATTTTTTTATACACGCGAATAATATGTGTGTGTACATAGGACGTATAAATTGTATATTATTACTATATACGTTATAATACATATGTATATGTTATATACAAGTGTGAAATTTACTTAATTTGGTTAGAGAGAAGACAAAACACTGCGTATGCATGCTTAAGAAAGGATAACATTTTTTTAAAGGATACAAAAGAAAATATAATTTTTAATTTTTTCTTGTGAATTTTAAATGTACATATTTGCTTTTTGGTTTGTTCCTGAAACTAAACACATTAACATAGATATATCGCTAAATATTTTGATTTTTAAATATAATATTAAAATATGCGTACGTACATATGTAAGTATATGCGTTTTTTTTCTATATATTATATATATTTCGTGTATTTCACTATGCTGTTCCGAATTTCTGGTAAATACTACAAAATTTTCAAAACTATAATGTCTTACTGTTATTATCATTGTTACTTTAAACAATAATTTCTTATTTCCTTCCCTTCAATACTCTTCGGTTTAAAAAAAAAAACGAGGGAAATAATTTGGATCCTTTCATGACGACAACACTATCGAAGAAACGGTATATTTTTTTGTTTTAATTTTTTTTTATAATTCACAACTCGGTGTATGGTTGGTGAAGATCTTTTGCGTAGGTTTTTGTATCCTTACCATAATGATTATTGAAAATTAAAAAGAAAAAACATTTTTTTCTAGTTATATTTTTTGCGAAATGCTCGATAAAATTACAAATAAAATTATTTTCTTAATGGAAATTTTAAATTTTTGTACATTCTAGTAAGCTGACTTATTTATAATTTATTTTTATAAGCTTCCTTCGTTTACATATTTGAGAATTAAGAGATTGAGCTGATTAAAATTAAAAAAATTTACGAACGCCAAACTGCATAAACTTTTATACATTTTACGGGATTTTTTTGTTTGTTATTGAAATTGAATTCGTGTCTATCCGTAACATGCCAGGTGCAAATATAGTCGAAACTTACTATACCACATGTCCAATGCTGCATAATAACGCAAATAATTTTTTTTTGGTTTCTACAAAAAAAAAATAGCTACAAATTGGTTTACAAGTTTTGTAAACCAATTTTAGTCATTTGCATTCGAAAAGAAATATGGAAGAAAAATTAACGTAAATCAATTAAGTTTTGTTTTTATAGTTTTAGTAATAAGGAACCGTATAAGAAAAGGGATGCTCAGTTTAAAATGTAGATTTTTTAGGAAACGGTTACGTATGATATAAACACAATTTATGGGCAACGTTTTTTATTTATCTGCGAGGTTATTTGCTCTCGCAGTATTGTTTGTGAATGCTTTATTGCAATTTTTTTTGCTATTTGAGTGTAACGGTATGATTTTTATTTATTTATTTATTTATTTTTTTTACTTTTCATGTCAATGTCGAAGTTTAAATTGTTAAATATATTGGTGAATAATAAGTTCTCAGAAAATAAAGCCAAAGTAACCAATTATCAAAGATCTAATTTGTACAATAAAAGAAAAACAAAACCTATAGACAGCATGCATATTATGAAATTCAAATACAAAAGTGTGTGTAATTCTAATATAGTTCATGTAAATGAACTATATTAGAATTTCGCGTAAAAAATATAATCTAAATTTGTATCTGAAATTACAATTAGAAGTTGAATTTAAAATTGATCAATTATGTTCGAAGTTTAACATAACAGCAATAATTTAAATTTACGGTTTTCTTATAGAAAAAAACACAATGTAAATTTATACAGAAATTTAATTTTTTTTTACATAACACTTAATTGAATTTTCATACATTTTTTCTATTAATTTGAGATTTTCGAAGCATTTTTTTCGTTTATATACGTACATACATATATAACTTTCAATGTACATCCAAACCGAAACTGAATGAGATCCTTAATCTTTTGCGTTTTTTTTATTTAATTTTATTTGTTTTTGTTGTACATTTTATTGTTTTTGTATAAAAATATTGCAAAAAATATATTTTATAATTTTCTTTCGTATACTTTTTTTGCTTTTATACAAAAATGCGCATGTCCTGTATAAATTTGAATATAAATAAAAACAACGGTAACTTATTCATCCTGTTGAGTTATCATCAGAATTTATTCGCTTGTTGAATGCTCTGGCTGTTGTGCAACAAAAATTTATATAATCGTAGATAAGAAAAATATCCGTTATATTTTTGAAACCGTTAATATTGAACGTGACGGTATACAACAAAAAAAAAGTACCACAAATAAAAAATAATAAGAAATGAAAGTTGAAATTTAAAATTAAAAAAAAAGGAAAAATTAAAAAAAACGAAGAAATTACAACAATAATAAAAAAAAAATTTTCCGTGGTTTTTTCAAAACTTAAACAAATTTTGGATTTATTAAAAAAGAAATTAAAAAACTAAAGTGTTTAAATTGTTGAATAGTTATTAAGTTTGAAAATATTGGTAGGTTAAGTAAAGTTTTAATAAAGGATATAAGAATTAAGTGCAAGGAGTTAAAAGTTTTCTTGCCGAAACTATGTCAGCTCAGTGTAAAAAAATTTTTTTTAATATTAAGAAAAAATTAAAATATGCGTTAAAATTATATTGGAAATTAAAAGAAGATTTAAAATACCAAAATTCATTCAATTCTAATATTTAAGAAAAATTTATGTGTGTAACTTGTTTGTTGAAACTTTATAATTAAAGTGAAAATTTTACTACGTTTGGGAAACGCTTAACAGATGTATTATTCAATTTAATACCAGAATTGGTAGACAATTAATGAATTCATTATTTGTCAAATAACATTCGATTTTTACAATAATATTTTACAAATTAAATTTCATTATTCATTTTAATTTATTACAGATAAAATCATAATGTAGGTGATAAAATGCAGTAAATGTGTTAATTACTTTATAAATATGAAAGGATAACACGTCTACGTGCGCAATATCAAATTTGTTTTGAAATGTTTTAAAACAAATTAATATGCCGATACATCGGCCGCGAAATCGCGAATTTTGGAATATGTATGGATAACATATTAATGAAAGTAAAAGCTCAATATTTGAATTAAATATTCTAAATTAAAAAACCTTACGAAATATTTTGCATTTCTGAAAGTCTCTTTTTATTATGGTCTTACTTATTATATGTCTGCATTCATTATTCAATTAATTTTTATTTAAATCACTTATAACATTGTTGGCAGCAATGTGACATCTAACAATTTAAACTAAAACTAACTGTAACTAAAGATTTTCAATTCAATTATTATAAACTACTCTTCTTTTGAAAAATCCTTAAATCTCAATTCTTTTATTAGTTTATGAAGAGATCGCCCGAACATGAAAAATAAGTCAATTGCGATAGTTTGCTAGTAGGAATTTTAAAATTTGAAAATGTGCTCTTACAAGCCAAGTTATATTGGTAATGTGAGAAATTTCTTCCTTCAAAAACTCAACAATTATTTGCAATATCACAATTATTTTTACTTTAATTATTCATTATAAAATAATAGAGTGGCCGGTTAAAAACAGGAGAAAGAGTAGCACATCGGACAATAATGCAGATTTACCTAAAAAACCAAACCGCAATTTGAAAAAATAACATTCTAAAAACAATATTTATAATCTATATTAGAATAAACCGATTTTATTGGTTTAAATTGGATTTTATAATCCTTCTGTTCCATATTTTAAGTAAAGCATTTTCACTACAAAGTTTCAAAACGTTAAATGTGTAGCATTTAATAAATTCACACAGCAAGATAAAATTTGAATTTAGTTTGTACTGGTTTGTTTACAGGGTATTTTCAAATTGAACTATTTTTCAGATCCTCTTAGTTTTTCTGGTTCAATTTCTAGAAAAATAATAAGAAGTTCCTCAAGTTTATAATTTTTTTACAGTATTCTATAAGAAAGGAAAATTTGATTAAATTTTTCATAAGTAATTAAGTACACAAAAGTATTTAAGCATAAATTAGCCACAAAAAAAATATATCTGAAAATATAAAGGTGTTTTCTCTAGTTTATATGAATACAAACATAATTGTATTTTCAGTTTCAATTCAGTTTATTGAAACACAAACACAAACTAAGATTTAAAGATATTGGAGTTTCAGTTTTACAACTGCAAGAGCTGAGGTACGCAAAAAGTTGAGTTGTGAAAGTTATGCTAGTTTTAAATTGAAAGGGTGTTATGGAGAACAATTTCTTAAACTGGTTCCGAAATAAAATAAAATTAATATTGTTATGCAACAAAATAGCGGCATAATTCAATTATTTTACAACTATTGAAAAATATATTTTCCAATTTATAATTTCAAACCGAATTTTATCTAAAATTACCAAACGTCGTTAACTTTAATAACCAAATTATAACAGACAACCATAAGTTTCCATATATGTATGTATCGTATTGAGCCTTTTCATTCTAAAAGTTAGATCTATTAATTTTTATCAACTTCAAAAAAAATTTCATTACCCCATGAAATTGAAACTAAATTCTTCGACCTTTTTTAGGTTTTTTTTTTTCAATTTTAATATTTATACGCATTGTGTTCTCTCCACCATAACGACAAAGTTATATCTGCAAATATAAATCTAATTTAAATATTTAAAAAAAAAAAAAACAAAAATTTTTACCTGTGAAATCGAAAAAATTTCTCGATATCTGAATTAAATTTATAGGTCATAAGTAAATAAAATAAAATTTCAGGATAAAGAAAGAAAAATTTACATAATAAATATTTATACAACCGCGACAAAGAGAGCGCAGCGCATAAAATTAAATTATTTTTTACAAAACATGAAATATACTCGTAAGGATTTCGCTTATTCCTATGAATTTTTAAATAAAAAAAAGTTTGAATTAATTTTTTTATTTTGAGCGCGACAAATTTTATATTGCCATCATAATTTGTCAACAAAATATTTTTGAATTTATAATAAACAATTTACAAACAACACCTGTTCCAATTTGAAAATTAAGATGACTCTATAATATTGTCTACTTCTAATTTGCTTATAAGGTTTTGATTTTCGTGTCACAATTATAAAGTTTTGCTTTGATGTCACAAAAAAGTTTGTTCAAAGTCAAAACTGCAATTTAACCTAAATGTTTTCCTTTTATAACATAAATTGTAACTTTGCCTACACTAATCTCGATTCTTGTGAGTTTTTGAATAAAACTTGAAAGTTTGGAAATAAAAATATATAAGTATATGCAATAATTTTTTACAAAATAAATATTAAATTAACTCAAAATTGTAATATGAATTTCAAGAGAATTGATTTTGGATTTATTAAGAAGATTATTATAAAACAAAATTTCCAATTATTTTTCTATTTTATTTTCGTATTAAAACTTTTTTATTGAAAAGTTTGAAAAAAAGTTTGGAAAATTTTCTAATTCAAATATTTACCATAATAAATTTCATTCAAATTAACATTCGTTTAATGTGAAAATTAATATTGATTTTCTATAAAATTTAATTAGGAAAATTTAAGATAAAAAATTTTACAATAATTTTAGGTATAAAATTGCAAGTCCACTTAAGCGCAACGTAAAAAATGAACTACATATTTAAATTCAATGAAAAAATATTTATGAATTGTACGTGTACCTGACTTTCATAATATTGTAAATTTTTTTCCCGCTACAAGACTGTACCGTTTCAGTTCACAATGCGTGCACGAAACTTTTTATATAAGCAAATACATCTCAATTCTCAAAGAAAAAGCCTTGTCAAGGAATTTTAGCAAGACAAGTCTAATATGAATGTAATTTAATCTCAAATCGAGCAATTAAAATCTTAATATAAAATTTTCAGCTGTACCTAAAATATACGACGCAGTAGTGTATAGTCAATTAAAAAATATCAGTCTTACGTACTTATTATATAACATTATTAATGTTTTTTATAACAACCAATAATTGTAAAATTTATGTTAATTTAAAAATTCTGAAATTTAAAAATTTTTGCAATATTTTTACAGCAGACAAATCGAAAATATCACTGTTGCATAAATTTGTTTATTGTTGAGTAATGAATTTCTTTATGAGCGGTTCAACTACATTACAAAAATTAGTAAAAACAATTAGCCGGTTGAAAATTAAAAAACAAATTTTAAAAAACTTAAAATGCCTAGCAAGTATAAAGCAAGTGTTCTTCTTAATAGAGTGATTTATTTTTAAAGAATTAGAATATTTATTAATCTACAATATGCAAAAAAATGTTTTTAAATAATCTAAATATTAAATTTGACTACATAAACTGCAAATGATTCTTTCATTGTCATCAAGTTATTTCAAATGAAGTTTAAAAAAGTTGATGAAGTTTGAAGTTTTTTTTATACAACGGTTTTGAAACGAGAATAGGAAGAGTTAATCATGTCAACTCAATGATAATCTCGAGAATGAGTGAGTTTCTCATAATTGTATAAAAATTGCTAATAGCTTTTGACAATTTTGTTTTTTCTTGTTTTGTGGCAAATTTTTAATTTCATGAAATTTTTGTTTAACTCAATAATGGTTCGACTGGTGGTTGGAACGGACATACTAATTGATAGCCATGGGTAAATTGATTCAGAATTCCACTTTGAGCAAGAATATATAAATATATATATGAATGTATATGTATATACATGTATATGTCTACATCTTAGTTGTATTTTTCTTAGCGTAACAAATGGAGGTGTTAATTTATAATACCGTTTGAACATACGTTCGTACGAGTATAATAAATCGAATGATTGAGATAGGAGACTTAGCGTGAACTATTTCAAATGTAATATTCTTAATTAATACTTACTTAAACTAAATTATATTCTGTAGATTGCTGTCAATTTCCGTAGCAATGATTTTTTTCCGTAGTACGAACCTTTTCTTTATTATAAACTTAAATGTTTGTATGGAAACCTTCTGTATTGCAAAAATAATCAAAAAGACAAAATGGTAACAATTCTATTTAAATTGAAAAGAGTAGAATATCCAAAAACTCGATCAGACATTGCTTTAAAATTCAATATGATTGAACAAATTTTCTAGTTACGAAATTTGATATCATTCACAATAAGCAATTTACTGCCTCCATTTTAATGGCGTAATCGAATAAAGAATCATTTAAGGTCTCAATAAAAATTTAACAAACTTAAAAAAGTTTAAGTTTGTTCAATTTTTATTGAAACCCAAAGAACACATATACATTTCAATTTAATATTTTTATGAGTAAAATGCCAATTCAAAACATTTAAATAAAAATTTTTGATAATAGAATTCGAACAATTGGTAAAGGTTTCGATTCAAAAATAATAAAGGATTTTTGAATATTAAAATCTTTTCTTTTAATTTTATATTTGAATCTAAAAGTTCTTAGAAAAACCAAATGTGTACAAAAAATTTTTTATTTTCTATAAAGTTGAAATTTGAATAAAATTGAAAGAAAATTGCATATTATG